ACCCCTCGTCACAGTAAAAAAGGAAAAAAAAAAAAAGGGTTTTCTTATGTTCAGACAGAACTTCTTGTCTTTCAGCTTGTGCCTGTTACCTCTTGTCCTTTCACTTTTTACCATGGAAAAGAGTCCGGCTCTGTCTTCTTTACTGCACCCCCATCAGGCATTTATACACATTGATAAGATGCCCCTGGGCCTTCCCTTCTCCAGGCTGGACAGTCCCGGCCCTCTCAGCCTTTTCCCATGTAAGAAACACTCCAAGCCCTTAATCATCTTTCTGGCCCTTTGCTGGACTTGTTCCAGTAGCCCATGTCTGTCTTGTACTGGGGAGCGCAGGACTGGACACCACTCCAGATGTGACTCACCAGTGCCAAGCAGAGGGGAAGGATCCTCTCCCTTGACCTGCTGGTGATGTTCTTCCTAACACAGCCCAGCGGCTGTTGGACGCCTTTGCCACAAGGGCACACTGCTGGCTCACGTTCAACTTGGTGTCCACCAGGACCCGCAGGACCTTCTCTGCAAAGCTGCCTTCCAGCCTCTCAGCCCCCGGCCTGTACTGGTGGCATGGGGTTATTCCTGCCCAGGGACAGAGCTTGGTGTTTCCCTTTGTTGAACTTCATGAGACTCCCGTTGGCACATTTCTCCAGCCTGTTGAGACCCCTTTGAACGGCAGCACAACCATTTGGAATAACCTGCCTTTTGCAGAGCCCTCTTCCTGAGACCAAAAAGTTAGAGGTTGGCTTAAATCTTGAAGGTACAAGGCATCATTACCTTGAAAAATTCAAGCACTCCTCTTGGTCATTTGAATGTCTAAGCACCCTTAGAAGTATGTCTGAGAAGTACTTAGCTACATGCAGATCAATGTACCCTCAGTACGAGATCACTGTATGACTCAAAAGTCAAAAGTAGCAAATCATGAGAGCTTTTTTCAAAGAAATAAAACCTTTAAGGAACTGCCAAGCTTTCTACAGAGGTCGTACCTGCTCCAAAAGACTTAAATCCACAGTTTTTTTTCAACAATCTGCTGAGACTATTTCTGTAACACTCCAGCTTTAAGGCCAGGGGGTGTGTTGGCCTGGTAGCTGTCTGGCAGGGTGCCATAAATACTTAAAGCATTTCCTTGAGCAGATTGTCTAACTTTAAATGTTTATGGATTTTACAGCTAGAGCATGGATCTTCTACAACCTATGAGTAAATTCTGCTGTTAGGCGTATTCTACGCTTCCCCAGTCTTTGGAGACTTTTCTTCGTAAAAGATTTTAAACTTGGAATGTTTCACAACCTGTGAAAGCAAATTGTTCTTGATCGTCATTTGGGGGAGAGGGAAATTTCATACCCAGTGAAGCTGCTGCTACTTCTCCATCAAACTGGAGAGATGCATCAAGCTGGATTTTTGTAGAGAACTCTCCCAGAACTTGTATTATTCAATATTTTCATTAATGACAAGAATGAAGGAACAGAGGCTGAGCTTATTAAACTTTTAGATGGCACCTTGCTGGGCGGGGCTGCAAATACGCTGGAAAACAGACTTAGTATTCAAAACAGCTTTGATTATCTGAGAAAGTCTGGGGGAAAAAAAGATGTTATTCAAAAAAGACATGCAAAATTCTACAGTTACTTAGGAAAAATCAGCTATTCAAATGCAGTAGACAGGGGCAGGACTAGCTACACAGCAGCTACAATGCCAGCATTGGAAGACAGGGTTTGGACTTACCATGGAAGCAAGTCCAAAACAAGCCAAAAATTCCTACAAGTCTGAGCAGGCTCCATCACTGCATGTCTTTAAGAAAAGGGCAAATGTTGGTCAAGAATGACTGCTAGCCATACTATCGGATAGAGGGATGGACTAGAAGGCATCCCAATGCATCTTTCAGTGCTATTTTCTGAGTTTTCAGTGATACTGTATTTGACAAGAAGTTTCACTGCTTGTTTCAGACTTGTGGGTGTCTCTGAGCTATGCCCTATCATCACTGACAGACCGTCTCAGCATCCCTTTTAAGATAGATCTAGCCCCCCGACGACAGGAGGTAACAAGAAAAACCAACAACTGCTGCTTTTGGAAGTTTCTTCCAGATCTCTGTGATCAGTAAAAGCCTTTCTCAAATTTTCTGCCTAAATAAGTCAAAATCAGTCTCTACTTTTTCTCTTTTATGCCCCTTGCTTTAATTTGCACTTTTCCCCATGCTTCCTACTTCTCTTCTAGTCTTCTCAATATATTTCAGTAACCAGCAGTGCTATCGGGACAGGATTTATCTTGCTTTGAGGACTGAATAAGCCAACTGCTTTTAGCCTTGTGGGTACTCTACACAACACAGCTGCTTGCAGCACCTGGGCCAGGGGCCTGAATTCCTAGCCCAAGGATATTCTTTGCAGTCGTGTTACAAGAAGATGTCCCAGGTTGCTGTAGAGGAGCACAAGCCATCTGTTGAACTCTGCCAACAGTTTCAAATCCCTTCTGGATGCATGCATCTCTTGCTCCTCACATCTTCAATAGCTGGTAATTATTCACCCTTTATAAACTGTAGGGTTTACCTGACAGGTGAAGTACAACTATTATTTTTGTAGCACAGGCAGTGCAGGGGGTACTCTGAGGTCATGTGTTCGAGTTGCTAGCTTAGTGCCCGCTACAGACTGTGATTAGTCTACAGCAAAACAAGGACAATAAGGAATATACCTTATGGTCTGCAATGGCCTTGAAAGCTTTTGAAATCTCTGGCATCTCTGATGACCCTTCTATAATTTCCTTACACTTTCCCAGTCTCCCTCCATGTGTCTCACCTTTTATTTTTCCAAATGCGGATAGAGACTGATCAACTTTTTCTACAAGCATCCCCTTTCCTGTTGGTGATAGCTCATTCGAGGTGGCCAAGTCCCTGAACCACTCTCTAATCATCTGCACTACAAGAACATCAGAGTAAGATGTGATGCTCTGACGTTACAGCCAATGTGCTAGTCATTTAAATAGTGTAGTGGGCTACAGAGTTGCAGTGGAAGACTCAATGTCTAAAAGAGAAGTTCAGCTCTGATAACTGTTCAAGTCAATGGCACTGTAATAGGGATTAAGTTAGCCTGAAGACTTTTGTCATGGCAAACAGTTCTCAGAAAGCAGGTTGCTCTCTCCCCTCAACTCACATCGACACAGGTACTGAAGAATACAGCTGGTTCATAGGCCAAAAGGTGTGCAAGACCTGAAAGAAGCCTACCACAAGCAAGAGGCTTAGCGAGAGGAAGGATTTTTTAAACCCTGGAGAAGTTCTGATTTGAATTTGCTTCTCCCTGATTTTAATACAAGCTTTAGCTGAACCAGAAAGAACATTCTAGATGTCCAGCTAAGAGGGGTATCACCGTGAAGGGAAGATCCTACTCCTGGGAAGACATGAACTAGTAATGCTTTGGAGACCTTCCTATCCTATTAGATATGGAATAAGAAGTTGTCCATCTTACTGCCTCTTGAGACCCAGCTCTTATAAAGTTTGAGGAAACTAAAGTAAGCACCATTAGAAAACAAGGGTCAGTAAGTGATAATTAAGTAGCTTGGGGATCTATTAAAAAAACTTTAGAAATCAATGTTTACACTATGTAGTTACAAATTAGCTGCAATGGGCATTGTTAAGAAACCATTTTTATAAGACAAACACTGAACGTGTGCACATTAGAAGAGTTCTCCCATGATTAGAAATCACAGCACAACTCATTTTATCCCATCCCTAAATTAGAAACTTAATGCCTCAGTTTATTAGCAGAAGGAAATTCAAGCAACGTTAAGATACAGAAAAGCACAATTTTTGTGCAGCTCTGCAAAAAAAGTAGTTGGAGCAAAGCTGCTCACAATTACAGTTCAATGCTTCAATGATTTAACAACTTGAATGAATTAACATCTACGGAGTCACAAACATCTAGGAATTCTCCAGCAATGATGGTCTTCAGGAAACAAAGTAGCTGGAGCAATGACACTGGTAGTGACAAGTGCTGGGGCTTTAGGAGGAACTAGAGCCCTCTCAACACTCAGCTCTTTGTACATGAACACGCCATTTGTTGCCAGTTGAATTAGCGCGTAAGAGCTCCCATATTCTGCGTTGTTCAGGAATTACTCCTAACCAGGAGCCCCAAAGAGCTTTACATTTATCGCTGTCTGAGCTCGAGCTGATGGGTGCTGTTCAGCGCGAGCCTCCACGCAATGGCACCTCCTCTGAAAGCTTCTGAAAGGTACAGGTCCCCAGAGCTTCCCTGGGGAGCCAAGTTCAGCTGCACCCAACTAATGGACAGTGGCAAGTACATACAAGCTGTCTGTACATGCAAGCTGTCTGCTCCCCCCAGTAAACGTCCTGTTGTCCCAGATGTCCTGCATTGTCACCCGGGTCCTCTGGAAAACCCATACCGTGGTTAGTTAGCAAAAAGTCCACTACTTCTAGCTGCTTGCCTTTCTGGACTACAGTCACTCTAACCTGACACCGCCACCATGAAAGGCAGCAATTTACACTCTCCCACTGTCCTCTGCAATTTGGGAAAAGCAAATCTATTTCTCCCCAGCACGCACTGCCTACAACAACCACTTCACGTGATCACAAAGTCTCCACAGAGCACGCCCCATCTGTAATTGTTGTTTCTTGCTGTTACTATGCATCTATATCACTTGTGAAATGCTGCCAATCCCAGACTACAAATTCATACCACATTTTTGCTCCACTTTTTCTGTTTACTTATCTCAACCAACTCACCCGTACTATGATATCAGTTTCTGCTAGCACAGATGTGACAATCCGCTGGAACTGAGTAGTGCCAGAAGTGCAACAGATTGACACTGCCCCCTTTCTGGCAGTATTTTGACATCGCTTTCCACTGGCGTGGTAGATGTAGGCACTGGGGATTAGCTGTGATACATGTCAGCTTGTACTGAACTGCAGTCCATTGACAGACGTTATGTATATGAAATCCAGTGTTAGCAGATACAAGCGACCTGCTCGCTTATAATGCTGTAGTGCCTTCCAGTAAAGACTACCCGGCGATATGAAAATGGCTGCTCAGGACTCCCACATCAAGCTGATGCAAGCCTGCTTCCTTAACTTCCTTCTAGAGGGTGAGTGTTTTCCACCAGCACGCGCTCCTCCATTTAACATCACTTGTATTTCTGACTATTGAGGGAGGCAGAGATGTCTCGCGCTGCCTTCAGGCTCTAAATGGCTTTCTGTATCTTTATTTTCCTGCAACACTTCAAGGATCAGTTTTCTTCATGCCTCAGAGAAGTGGTATCTAAATCGTTTTAAACTGAAACAGGGACAGAATAAGCTGTGCAAATCATTTTCTAGTAGAACCTTAATTACATCCTGCAGTGTCTCGTCCTCAGCAAACCACTAGCAATAAAAGTCTGCATTTCATTTGAGAACCGACAGGGCTGGGTTTTTCTGTTTTGTTTTCCCCAATTGACATATACATAATCTAGCCTGGGACTTTGTTCCACAGCATTTTTGTCAAAGGCACTAGAGAGTATGCCTGCAACTACTAAATCTTTCTCAGGTTCGCATTCAATTTGCAAGTTATACAACTGTAGCTAAAGAAAGAGACGTTCTGTTTGCAGGAAGGTGTTTGCCAGAACCCCACTGGCAATGGCAAAAAGTGATTTATGATCAGTTTTAGTTAACATGGCCTCTCAAACAGATTTTAAAAAGTCTTTACAGCCATGGCCTAACGCCAAAGCCTTTTCTATAGGAATGTACTCAATTTTAGCTTGTGTTGATGCCATGCAACGCAACTGCAAAGGCAAATGGGTACAAATATTAAATACATCCTCTTGATGAGGCAAAGGGCCTGATATCTTCCGAATCTACCGGATCCCCCCCTGCTCCACCATTACAAATCTGTGCCTTTTCCAGTTTGTTGTTTGTGCGGGGGTGTTGATGACTTTTAATCCCTCATTCATTCTTCTGCACAAAACAAGAATCCTACATTTTCTGAACTCCTCCAAAGAAAGGTGGATTCGCCTGTTCCCATTTTTAGGGGTACAAATAAAAAGACTTAAATATAGTCCTGGCCCCATGTTTATATGTGCACTTACACATACAGTTCACACTAAACCGGTGTCCTTCTTCCCTTTTGGGGCTGCTACACTCTCTTGCCGTTATGAAAAATTCTTTATAATACTGTTATCACTGCCATGAGCACAGGCATCCCCTGGCACATACAAATTCCTCAAGGGGTGAAACCACTGCAGTTCTTGCATCTTCTCTCAGGCACCAGGTGTAACTGGTTTGTGTTGTTCCCACAGCATGCGCAAGTACTTAAACTTTGACCTCAGGCTTGAGCTACAGATGCCTTGCCCACTTTTTCTTGGATCTTCCATTGTTTCCATTGCCTTCACAAACCCTCAGGCTGGGCTGAGGGCTGGGTTACTGACTTCCTTCACTGGCAGACTCGGATGGGGTTTCATCAAGACCAAACTCTGGGATCTCCTGCACTTGTTTTGCCCAGTCCAACTCAGCTGTTCCGCAGGTCCTGCAGAGTCTTAGTCTGAGCCTTAGTTCATGACCCCAGGCCTCACTGGGTGTTGTATTCTGGTACTACACTTCTCATGCAGTGCTCCAGTTGCTGTAACGGTTTCATAATTAGCCTCCTTTGCATAAAATAATTGAATATTCAATACCAAACATCCCCAAGCCAGGTACTGAAGATGTGGCCAGCTTTCCTGAATCCTGCCAGCCACAGTCCAACACCTCCACAGGGCTGAATGTTATAGGACACAGCTCAGAGCCAAAGGGAAAAGAAGCTTCACAAGGAGCTCACCAACAGGAAACAATCTTGACTCTCTAGAAGCCGTGTGGCTTCTTATGGGAAAGACTGGGCTCAGCCCCAGAAGCCCTGGTAATGTCAATCACAGCTTTTGAACTTCAGCAGCCTGTATAGCTTCCTCCCTCCGCTGAGCTTTGAGCGGAGCTATCTAAGCCTTTTGCGGCAGCCTAGCCCCACTGATGATCAAGCATGAAAGCTATAAGAAGAGCCACACATCAGCTACCTCACAACTATTGGAAGCTTCATTCATCATGACTGGGTATTTCCCCTTTTACTAGCATCACCTTTTCTATCTGCAAATAAACCTTCTCTAGTTGTCCATACTTCTGGAAAACTTCAGTGCAGGTAGGATGGCCGTTCTCCATAAGAAAAAATTGCCATTCTTTGAGGAGCTCAGAAAACCTAGGACTTCCATCTAGCACAAAAGGATGAATTAAGGGAGAAAGGCCCCCACGAGCACCCCTGCACAAGCAGACAGTAGCAATTAGACAAGGCAGACCACAGCTCTGAGAGAAACACAAGATCTAGAAAGCACATTTCCTTTAGCTCAGTCTTATAACCAGCTTAGAGAACCAAACTATTTCCCAAGCACACCTCTTCTAACCTATGTTGAATA